GTCTCTATTCTGGGTGATCTTCTCCACCTAACCTTCATACAAATGTACCGCGTATGCCTGAAATGTGCCTCCAAATCTCATTCCCAGGTAGATCTCGGTCGTTCTTTCTTCCTACTCCCCAGGGGACTCCATCTTAGTCCTTTTCTTGGTACTTTATGAACTGGCTCCCTAAGCGTGTACCAATCCACCGCCATCTTTTAAAAAAAATTACAACAAGTGAAAATACGTTCTGATCACTCAAACTCGGGGTTTGAACGTTTTGAAGCGCTTCAGGTTTATCTTACAGTGATGTAGGCTATTACATTAGATTCTCTTAAAAAGACGACCATCTCTTTTGTAAAATGTTAACACCCTAGATATGCAAAATTGCTTTTGCAGTCTAGATAAAAAAGGTCTGAAAGAGCTTGAACGATAGTTAAATAGTCTGTTGGGCCACTAAAGGTGCTCAAGGATAACATGCCCTTACTATATTATAAAGAAGACGAAAAAGGAGAGTGACACTTAAATATAATAAGTTCCGAGCAAACAAAACAATATAAAGCCGAAACAAAACAAAACACAAAAATCGGGAAATCAGAGACATAAGAAACGGTCCAGCTATGATAAGGTCAACTTTCGAAAATCTCTCAGTTATATTCGCATTAAAGAAAACTCGAAAGTCAAGAACACGCTGGCTGAGTCTACCAAAAACAACATACAACATTAGGTAAAAGTAAACATGAGCCTTCTTTTCGGAACTTACTTGACATACCACTCACACCTGGGGTCACTACTCTCTTCGGGGCTCAAGTTGGGCCGCCATGGCGCGGTTAGCAAAAGACATGAATTTTTAACTTATCTTTTGAAGAATGGGGGATCAAAATTTACTTTTTACCAACAAAGCAAATCTTCAGCTTATGAAGAATAACCCTAGCCGTTTGTAAGGTGCTCAGTCATCTAGATTCTATGGAAGAGGGAAAGCAGGAAGGGGGGGGGGGGCATCCTTGACTGGAAGCATAGTTATTTAGTTAGTTTTAATAGAGGTTTTACGGCGCTCGCAACTGCATAAGGTCATAAGAGCGCCAGAAGATTAGAGGTGTTACAAGAGAGTAATAAACATTAAAAAAGAAAAAGGGGAGATAATGATGATAGATGTTTCACAGGTTAAGAAGAAGCAAACCACACCAGAGCACCCGCCAACCACCCACAAAGCATAGATCATCAAACAAAACGCTTCAGAAATTGCTGGGCTAGGTGTGTAATAGAACGCTCTGGTTCTGTACTAAAAGAGAAAATTCCCTGCTCCTAAACAAAAAAAGAACATTATTCTTGTTGAATTAAGTACGTTGTCGAGCTTTTGAAATGTCATTACGAGGACCTCTCTAATTCACCAAGTGGCTCCATTGACTGCGGTCTCGCCAAGACAGGCGGATATCTATCTATCTATCTATCTATCTATCTATCTATCTATCTATCTATCTATCTATCTATCTATCTATCTATCACTCTCTCTCTCTCTCTCTCTCTCTCTCTCTATATATATATATATATATATATATATATATATATATATATATATAATATATAAATATATATATATCGAACATTCTTCTGGAAGTGTCATTACGATAGTCTTACACAACAGTCCCAGCAATTCGTTATAATGCAGTCTTAGCTTTCCTATTTTAAAAAATTTAAGAAAATGAGATGAAGGAGACAATTTCAACAGGCCAGGTTCAGAACAATAACCTATTTGAAAGGACACATCCCAGGATGCTTGCTACATATGTGAGGCAGCGTGGTGGAATCGGGCTCTCGTCAAATTTTGGGCATGTAGAGTTATTGATAGCATCTTAAAGCTTGTTCACTCGCCTTTATTTGGATGAAAAAATATCCATTTATCTTGAATATAAGTCGAGATATTTGCGAATGAAGGAGATGGGGGTCACTGTTTTCAGAGGTAGAATTAGTGAGAAAATGGCCGCCAAAGATTAGTTATTTCCTTATCTCAAAAGTCCGTGGTAACTGAAAATTTACATTTGTTGTGCCTTAAATCGACGTTTTTCAGAAGAATCCACACAGAAATGAGTTCTTTAATGGGCATGAAAGGTGTTAAGCCAAAGAACAAACATTTTATAAATATTCACAAACCTGTGGAAGAATGCAAGTTTCTTCACTTTGGTTATTTTGACGAGAGCCTGATTCCACCACGCTGCCTCACATAAGAAGGCAGAGAGGGTTTAAGGGGATCAACTAGGTAGCTATAGCTAATTACAAACCTTGTAACATGGCGGAAATAGGATTGAGGGGGTAAAGGGGATTAACTAGGTAGCCTAATTGCAAACCTTGCAACATGGCGGAAATAACATATTTATGATTAGAGCAGTATGCCTGAAGTTTTAAACCAAACAATTAATTAAATAGTCTAAGTAATTGAGAAGCGATTGTCAAAGATATGGTTGATGGAAATAAGGTCTTATTTTCGTTTTATTCGAAGACCCACCGGGAGTCTAAGTACCAGCCATAGAAACAGAAAGTAAACTAAGGAAACCTTCCAGTATGGAGAAATAGAGAAAACCTTCTCTTTCCTTGAGAATATTTTAACCTTTGCCTGTTCATGAAGGAGGGGCGCCGGAAATTCGGTCATTTGTTGAGTAAAACGAGGCAACATATTATTATATTATTATAGCTGGGTCGGAATGATTGTGTCGGTCAAGGAATAACACTTAGAATCATCATCATCATCACCATCAATGCCTTATCATCATCATCATCGTCATCATCCTCATCATCCTCGTCATCATCATCATCATCATCATCATCATCATCATCATCATCATCATCATCATCATCATCATCATCATCATCATCATCATCCCATATATCCCTGTCCTGGGCCATCCTTCCTAGCTCGTTCCAGACTTAGTGAGCTTCGTCTCTCTCATGTCCCTTTCCACGCATCTCCTCCATGTTTCCCGTGGCCTTCCTGCCTCGTGCTAACACTAAGAATATCATTAGAATATTCAAACAAGAAAAGCCAAAATTTCACTTACATTGTTGTTGAGTAAAACAAATCGAAAATCCATTCAGAAATAACATAAATAAGAACACCCACGAAGTGTGCGCATTGGGCCCCATTGCAGCAAAATCTGCAGGGTGTTTTTGTTCTTGCCTCAGGCTTCCCTGAGATTGACGGTTGATTTTTATAGGCAAACAAGAGTCATGGGTTGTTACTAAAGCCTTTCATAACGGACTGTTTGGCAACAGGGAATGAGGTTTTAATATCTAGTTCAGTTTGGGCTAGTCGAAGCCTTATCTCCTGTTGTCTGCGCGTTATCGACAGTTAGGTAACCACAATGTTTAGACCAGGAAAACTGGTGGCAGCCGACAAAACCAGTCGTGTCAACGACCATTCATCACGACATCTCTTTGTCCCTTTGTTGCAGTGAAGTGTGTAGGGCTGTTGTTACGATTTAGTACGTGTTTACATGGGCAAAGCTGTAGTATAATTGTAACATGAAATTATAACATATTCGTAGTGATTGTGGAAACTAAAAGGCAGATACACTTAATCCTCTTGGTTGACAAATGAAACGTGTAGTAGGAAGTAACAGCAGTGTTTCTGTGGTTGTTGATAATATTACCTCTGGTTCTCTCTTTTACGTCTTTTTCCAATCCACCCCAAAAGTGTTTCTTGAGATTTCATTAGCACAGTCAATCGACCTTTAGCAGTGATTTGCTTTCTACGAAAGATACCAATTTGGCCTTTTGGGGTGTCAAATCTTGATTGACATCCCTCTAACTAAAAACCGACTTGTTTGGAAGTTAATTCCTTGTTGTTGTTTTTGTTTTGTTTTTATTTTATTTTTTTTATTTTTTTGTTGTTGGATAATAAATTATCCTTTACTTGGTTTCGATCTGTCGGTGGCATCTTTCTCCACAATGGATTGGTGCGGGCCGTATGCTGATCGAGTATTTACTTCGGAGTATAATACTTCAGTGTTAACACGTGTGTTTTTTATCACCCTACCTAATCTTCATGGCACAATGCTGCAAATATGCCACTGTCTGTGTGAAAGGCTCACAATCAAACACATCTGGTGCATCTGTGCTCCCGTATGAACCCTAATAGCTCCCCTTCCTTGGTTTATCCAGAAACATGACGTGTTATAATCTCCTTAATCATCCTTCTGACGTACTTCCGCTTCACTATGGAACACACCAGTGGATCCAAATGATGGACAGGGGATGGGGGGGGGGGTTGCACTTGACTTCAGCAGAGAGACTGGTTGTTTAGCTTTTCATTTGGGCACAATGGTGCACCCCTTGGTACACCCACATCGCAGCAACATTTTATGGAGAGTGATATCAACCCTATCCGTACTCCCCAGGGTCATTTTGTACCCCCGGGGTTTAATTATCCATACTTTAGAATACTTCTAGTACGAAGATCTCTTTGAAAATTCAGTATTTCTCAAAAAATCATTTTAACAGACTGCTATGCAAAAAGTACTGATCGGATTAACGAGTAACTTTCGTCTTTGAAAATGTTTGCACAGAGCTCTCCACGTCTTATGGATATGATAGTAAAACAAGACGTACGGATAGGGTTAAGTGGTGGTACAGAGTTTCCCACGTCGTATGGATACGATAGTAAAACTCGACGTACGGATAGGGTTAAGTGGTGGTACAGAGTTCCCCACGTAGTATGGATACGATAGTAAAACTCGACGTACGGATAGGGTTAAGTGGAGGCCTAGAGTTCCCCACGTAGTATGGATACGATAGTAAAACACGACATACGGATAGGGTTAAGTGGTGGTACAGAGTTCCCCACGTAGTATGGATACGATAGTAAAACACGACGTACGGTTAAAAGCGCCGGCCATCACAGTGTACGGCCTGGCAATACAAACAAGTCCACGGGTCTTCCTTTCTTCCCGTTCCCAATCTGTTAGCCACCTTCACGCAGTTCTGGGTAGGGCTGTCGCTGACATGCTGAACACGCCCACATCCGCCTCCATCATGGTAATACTTTGATTGACTGAATTTTTATTCTGAATAGTGATTGTGTGTATAATACTTTTACTTAACAGAGTTGACTTCTGGATAGTGATTGTGTGAATAATACAGTTTTAAAACAGAATTGTGTTCTGAATGGTGCGTATGTGTAAAATACTCTTACTGAACTGAACTTCTTCTGAATAGTGATTATGTGAAAAATACATTTACCTTGTAAGATGGCCCTCAACTCTGACTATGAGAAATTACCTACCCCAAAAAATCGCAAAGATCGTTCGAGAAGAAAATCTTTTGAGAAGCGAAACAAAGCGTTTATTTTTTAAAATTAGGGCTTGTAGCTACATCTATCAAATTATCTGTGGATTTCTGAGGACGCTTTTGTTAAAAGTTAACCCTCTCTGTGATTCAGTGCCTTCTACTCTTTTAGAAACTAAAATTAGAATGTCAATATATAACAGTATTGAATACGGATCGTAATTCAATATCCACGTCTGTAGATAGTTCTGAATAAGAAAAACCTGTTCAACTCTCATCTGTGAAAATACGGACCCCTAACAGGATGTATGTCCTGGAACTGGAAGCACAGACACACCTAGATTTTCCACGGATTACGTCACATCCGAAAGCGAAAGAAAGGCATCAAATCTCAAATCATCGTCTTGTTTTGTTTCCAAAAGACACAATTCTTGATCTCAATGTGTTCCCTCCATCTTTACTTTTTGTTGTTGCTTTAGTGCTCGACTGAGGT